ACCTATTGCTTATATACCTATATACACAATGTTACCACAAATATATGCTCACTTAAACAATATATGTATGAGCCAAATGTAAGTATTTTTTTAAAAAGCAAATATTTGCCTACAGCATCTGAGAAACACACAGATATTGCCTAGATCATATACTTTACCTGAGCACACTATCCTTGAATTCCAGGAGGTTGGGTGGGGTGGGGTGGGAGGTGGGGAAATAAAGGCTTTTCTCCATCTATGTGTGCTTTTAGAAATGAAAGTGGAAGTAAAGAGATCATTGCAAATAGATTGCGTAGAATACCAAAAGGATAAGCAGAGAAAAAAGGGGAAAAGGAATAGAGAAACACTTTGAAAGTGCTTTCTCTAGAAATGGAAAATCAGTGAATCTGCCAATATAGAGCAAATTTGAGCCTTAACACCAGATTCTCCTTATTGCCATGCTTACTACTAAATGGTTAACAGAAAACTCCTAAAAATAAAATGTTTCCTGATTTCAGTCTCTGAACAGAAAATATTTCCATGTTTTCTTCTCCTTTCAAGATTAGTTTTCATTGTGAAACATCTAGGATACTTTCTGAATAGAAAAAAAATTAGATGATTGTGAACTTTGAAAGAAAGAAAAGAAACAAACAAACAAAAAGAAACAAAGAAAGAGAAAAGATTCCTTGACTGGAAGGAATTTACTTTTCACTGCCTTTTGTATTTATGGATGAGAAGACTCAATAATATAAGAATGTAAACTCTTCTCATTTGAGCTGTAAATTCACTGAAATTCCAAAGTCCCAGAAGATTTTGTTTAGATACTTAATAATCTAATTCTGAAATGTCTGTAGCTGAGCAAAGGTCCAAGATTAGCAAAATCATTCCTGAAGAATAAGATAGGAGGGTTTGCTCTACCAGATTTCAAGACTTATGTAAAACAATGGTAATTAAAACAGTGTGGCAGTAATGCAGGACAACACAATGGGACAGAATAGAGAACCCTGAAACAAACCTATGAATATATGAAAGTTTGATATATAACACAGAGGACATTACAGATCACTAAAGAAAAAGAGACTATTTAATAAACAATGCTGGTATAACTGACTATCCACATAGAAAATATGAAGTTAGGCACCTACCTCACACACCATACCAGCAGATCAATTCTAGATTGATTAAAGATGTAATGATTAGAGGGGGAAAACCTTCAAAAGTTATAAAAGAAAATATAAAATATCTATGAACTGGACATGAGGAAGGACTTCTTAACACACAAAAAGAACTAGACATTTTGTGCCCACTAGATTGGCAAAAATTCAGTCAGAAAAGAACAGATGTTGGCAAGGATGTGGATCAAAGGGAACTTATACAGACAATGCTGGAGGAAGTACAAGTTGGAATAATTGAAATCACTTTGGAAAACAGTTTGGCATTATCCTGTAAAGTTGAATATTTGTATATTTTTGTATGACATAGCAATTCCACCCTTAGATAGGTGCTCTTGAACAGTGCTTCTCTAACTTTAATGAGCATCAGAATCACCTAGAAAGCCACACAATTTTGGGGCCCCACCCCTGGAGATTCTAATTCCTAGGTCTGTGAGTGTGTATTTCTGAGAAGCACGCAAGTGTTGAGGCTGCTGCTGCTGCTGCTGGCTTCCCATCACAGTGGAGCAATGCTTCTCCAGATTTCCTCACTTGTGTCTTGAGAAACAGGAATAAGAATATTCAGAGCCACATCATTCAGTAACAGCAAAAACCTGGGCAAAACCCCAATATCCGTCAGCAGGAGAATGGAGAAACAAACTGTAGTATGTTCACACAATAATGTATCATATAACATTGTGAATGAATGAACAAAAGTACAGGCAGTAACCTGGATGAATCTTAGAAGCATAATGTTAAGTGAAAAAAAGTGAGTCGCAGAAAATTACATTCAGCATGAGACCACCTCTATAAAACTAAAAAATTAAATAATATATTGCTTAGGAGCAAATGTGTGGATAAAACAAAATATGAAGCAAGTGAATGAAAAACACAAAAATGGGAAAGGGAAGAGTCACATATGGGACACCTGAGTGGCTCAGCAGTTGAGCGTCTGCCTTTGGCTCAGGGCATGATCCTGGATTCCAGGGATTGAGTCCCGCATCAGGTTCCTTGCATGGAGCCTGCTTCTCTCTCTGCCTGTGTCTCTGCCTCTCTTTCTGTGTCTCTCATGAATAAATAAATAAAAATCTTAAAAAAAAAAAAAAGGAGCCACATAACTAAATGCCACCACAGAACTGTTAAAGTGGCTTTTCAGGTGGGTGGCAGGTTCTTATATGCTTCAGAACTCTCATATAAATTATAGGTACACAAAAATTTGTTATAAATATTTGTCATATATATGTATATATATATGGAAAACATATACATAGTACACATAAATGGAAAACGATTTTTAAATGAGTGCCAGACAATCAGGTAAGCTAAATGAGACAATGTTATAGGGAAAGTAAAATTGTAATAACAATTAAAATACTCATTGGACTTAGTAAGTGACAGAAATGATCCTGAAGGAAATGTAAAGGACAAATTTGAGCTATCCTCTTGCAGAGGGAAAACAAAAAGATTGAAAAGTGATGAGAAAGGAGATGATAGATGTGCAGGATTGAGGGTGGAGGGTTCACAATCAGACTCCTGAAACAAAGAGTGAAGCAAAGAGAAAGAAAAAGAAGTCAAAGCTACATTTAAGGAAACTTTTCATTGGTTAAAAAAAAAAAAAAAAGACCTTAGTCTTTCTGATCAAAAGTATTCCTCAAATATCAGCAAATTGATCCAGAAACCCACATTGACATGTTTCCAATAAAAGTTCAAATACCAAGGATAAAGCATGCCTTCATAAGCATTCTGGCAGAACACAAAAGATAGAAAATAAACAGGCTAACCAAACATAGACTAAAATTCAGACTGGCCTCAAGTTTCTCTGAACAACAAACGCTACAAAAAAATTATTTCAAAGTTGGTTTGTAGAAATAAATTGATATGACTAATTAAAGAAAGTTTGATCAAAGAAAAATCAAAAATGAACTTGAATCTCTAGATATTAAAATGTAAACTACAATAATGAAGTGATATAAAACTGTATAATACAGTGTGTTATATTACATATTATAATGTTTATATGTAATATAACATACAATTAATGTATATTATAATTATAATATATATATTTATATATTTTTACATGTGTATATAAAACTTGGTGATTAAGATGGATTTAAAAATGCATTATCAACTGTATGATGCTACAACTAATTCTTGTAGAATAATTTAGAAAATAATAGTACCATATCACAAAATAATTTTCAGTGAATTAAGAGGTTATACTGTTAACTGATGAACAAGAAGAAATATCTGTGAAGATTGATCTGATCCTTGTGTGAGGAAAGACTTTCTAAGAATAAAAGAGGTGAAAGAAATCAAAAGGAAAAAATAGATATTTCCCTATAATTTTTTTTAATTCTCCATGTCAAAAAATCATAAACAGTGATAACAAGTGAACTACACACTTGGATGGAATATTTGTTCAATATACATTCCAAAGATTCTTAACAATAATATGAAAAGATGTATTACAAATCAATAAGAAAAGGATAGTGTCCCATTGGAAACAGGTGTGACTTTGATAATCATTTAACAAAGTTTACTTCAGATCAAAATACAGAAAATGTAGTCAAATAAGAGCAAATGAAACAATGAGATTTTTTTCATTTATATGATTGATGATGATATTTGGCATTTTAAGTATTAGGAGACCAAATTTAATGGCCATTTTGAAAATACTTAATTAAGATTAATTAAGGTAGACAGTTGGGCAAGTCTTAGAGCTCACTATTCAGGGCAGATTTAGAGCTGTTCTGGTGGCAAAGGGGCTTGGAGACTGTTCTGATTTATGCAATTCAACAGATACTTTTAAGCAGCTAATGTTATAGATAAACACACAAGGAGAAAAAAAATCATTAAAAGATTTCTGCCTAGAAAGATGAAGGCTGAGAAGACATGCATGATGTCTTTTAGACTTTGAGAAGCATGCCCACATTGAGTAGCATGATTATGGAATTCCAGAACTGGGGGGAGGGAAAAAGCCCCCAAACAAATTAGGATGCCCTTTATTACATGGAGAGTTATAACCACTAAAGTCATTACCCCATGATTGGATATAACAGCAAATACAAAATAAATACAAAATACAAAATATGTCTTGTATCAAGTATAAAAGCAAAATATGGTAATAGCAAATACTATAGAAATTAAGGTACCAGTGAATAGACTTTTGTAAGGTCAGATACACGTATGGGTCACAAATTGAATATTTATTCATCAGTTACAAATGGATGCCAGAATGGTTGAAAGTATCATATTCCTTTAGTTTAGAATTATTCATTTTATTTTAGAACTATTGAGGATGACCAAGAATTAGCACCAGGGTTTGCAAACATTCTTCTGTTTGTGTTTCTGAGTCTGGAATTCAGAAGTCTGGTCTCTTGCCTGGAGTACCTTCCTCTCCCTCCCACCACACAATTAGTCTTTAATGATAATATTTGAAGGGTGACGTGTGGATTCTTATATTGATGGCAATCCTAAAGATTGGAAATCTTCTATCCTACAGTTAAACGCAAGTGATAAACCAGTATGAAAGTAAAGTTAAAGAAAGTGAAAAATTTAATGCCCTGACAGGTTATTATTTCATATGTGAAAAACTTTGATTCATTTGTTTTGTATGCTGGTCTGACTCCACCCCACTTAAATTTCCCCATTTGGTCAGTTGAAAAGGTCACTTTAGATAGTGCCCATTTCATTATCAACCCAAGGTGAGCACTTCATCGTGTTGACATGCTTAACTGAATTAGGGTCTCTAGTCACGATTCACTGTACCCCTGGTAAGAAGTAGTTTCTGGCCTGTGTGTTGGTATATTTACCTTTGACACTAAATGTGCATCTTTCTCTGACTCTCTACCTCTCTATTCTCCTCAGGACTACTGGCTCTCTCTCCTTTACAAGCGCCTGATTGGCCCCAAAGTCTTGGCTGTGCATGTGGCCGGGCTCCAACGGAAGCCACGGCCAGGCCGAGTGATCCGGGACAAACTAAGGATTTATGCTCACTGCACAAACCATCACAAGTAAGTCTTCAGAGAGATGTTACAGAAGGCTACTCCCAAAGGGCTTCAGGCTTCAAATCCCCTCTTAGAATTCCATACCATTTGGGACCCCTGTAGGACTTACTGTAAACTGCTTCTGGAATTATTTTACTTGCTCTTTACAGGTTTTAACGGATCTCTGATAAATAGCTTTTTCTCCAAGTAAAACCATTTTCTCACTCTCAGAAGATTGATGCACAACAAGTTCAGAAAAACACATGCAATTTTTTCATTTACTTCATCCAACAAATTTTTATTGAGCATTTTCTCTGTGCCAGGTGATGTAATGTGCATGAGGCTTTTGTATGTACCTACGCCTAAACCAAGTCTAGAGATATAAAATTTGTTCTTATGATCCACTAGCAGAGCTTGAGGAAATAAGTCTACATTTCTAAGGTGTATGCTGAAGAGCTCTACCACCAGAAACCTAGCCCTAGATCTGTTGTGTCCCAAGCTGGAAAGCCCAAAGGCAGTCACGCCAGCTTTAGAATCATTTTCAGAATTTCAGAAATCTTTCCAGCTATTTTAAATGTTAAGAGGTTAAATAAAATCTGGGCTTCCTTTTTTACAGGGCTGGACTTAGAACAATCAGTGTGGTAATGTGTGGCTATTCTTCTCTTTTTGATCTGAAGCACTGGTTGTCATTGAAGTCTGTAAACAAACAGGAAAAGTAATTATCATTAAATTGATAAAGTTTAGCAGATGCCATTTTAAAACATGAGAATCATAAGGTAAAAACTGTAAACAGCCTAAAGCGAATCCCATCTGACCAAATATGGCTTTGTTACATCACTTCCTGTTTAAGGAGCAGTGTAGGCAGCTCTGGAAAAGAACTCTTTCTCTTAATGCAGGTGGGGGAGGGGGAGGAGGAGGAGGAAGCTAATGCCTCCAGCCAGACCTTCATTCCTGTGGGCCTATCAGGGGCAGATCGTGGTCAGTGGATAGCACAAAGAGCTCCAGTGGTCAGGTTACAACAGAGGCTCTTTCCCCTTCCTTGATGAGAGAGGAGCCAAGTCAATTAATTTATCATGATAAGATTTTTCAAAGAATCACTCTGAACATAGTGGGGCCAGGGGCCAGTTGTCTTGTCTGTAGATACAAGTGCCTATTGTGGATGAGAGGAGGCTGGTTTGGGCAGAGGCCAGAGGTTTTCAACGTCCCTTTTGCTCAACAGGAAGCTCAATCCAATACCTGACAGAGAGTGACTGCTTTATGGCTTTGCCTGGAGTTATCTGATCCCCACACAAGGATACATTGTACTCCTTGTCTCCACCCTAGCCCTGAGGTAACCACTCAAAAGGAGGACCCCCAGCTTCAAGAGAGAAATATTACCCTTAGCACCTTTTGTCTCTGTTGGGAAGCACTTCAGTTGTGCCCTCTTATACTATCAGTCTGAGGAACCAGGGGGAAAATGTCAGTAGCCATGGGCTTTGCTGACCTTTGGTGTCCTCACAGAGGGCTCCTCACATAGTCTCATCTCAGTGCTCATCCTGACATTCTTTGACATTCTTGTGGAGAGTTGTCACTAATAGTCTGAATATACCATGAACTCAGGGCCAGTGTCTCGTTCATTTTTGTATTCTTGGTGTCTAATATAGTGACTGGCATGAAGAAGATCTCAGCAAATGTTTAATGAAGGAAGGAATGAGTGAATGAATGCAGAAATAGGACATCAAGACATCATGGAGGATTTACAGTTCTGGCTCTCTTCCCCTTTGATGTCAGCACATCATCCAGAAAGAGGTGGTGTGGTAGAGTGGCTACAAATTCTACCATTCACTAACATCATCTGGATCTAATATTCTCTCTACATCACCAGTACCCCTCTACTTTCCATGGGAATTCACTTCAGAACCTCTCTGGAGAAATGGTGCCACTGTGCTTGTCTGTACCATCCGTCTTCCCCATTACAAGAGAGAGACAAGACTAGACTGATGCACATATGACCTTCATGATAATAATAGGGGTGAAGGTCTTGTTCCTATTAGAAAAGTAGGCCCACAATGAATGCATGGAACTGGCTGGGGTTGCAGATCTCCTACATGTCTATTGGTGTCAAGTGCCCCAGATTGGTAGGCACAAAGATAGGACAAGTGTCTCTGCTCCTTCTCCCTGGAAAGCCATGTGTCTTGTCTGTGTCTGCTCATCCCCCACATCCGTCATGAGGAAGCACTACTGATTCACTTAGTTGATTTATGGTCAACAAGCTCAAGGTCACAGAAATGTCCCAGAGTGGACATCTTGGCTTCACACTATTCACTCTTGACCAATACTCTGAAAATATATATCCTGGATCAAAACAGGGATTGGGTGAGAAAGTATAAACTTACCAGTAGAACAACCCAAAGAGATTATCTATTGAAACAACTCCTGAACTTCAGTGTATATTGAGCACTTGCTGTATGCCAAGCATCTTGCCAGATATCTACACTTATATTATCATATTGAATTCCAAAAGTTTTATGGTATCACTCCCGTATGCAAATAATAACAACATTAATAATGCAAAGAATTGTACACTTGGGAAGAAACCTTAGAGATCTTTTGGCCCAATATCCTATACAACAGAAATTCCTTTTACAACCTCCTTGACAGTTATGCAACCTCTATTTGAATATCTTACTGAAAAAAAAATGAATATCTTACTGCCTTTCATGGCAGCCTCTTACATTATGGTTTGTTTCTGACCTAGGAGAGTGTTGTGTTTTACAATCGATTTAGGATTTAAAGTGTGATATGTATACCAACACCAGCAGGTGTTCCACTGCCTTCTGTTCTAGAGTCAACAAATTACGAGCCCAGTGGCATGGCAGTTCTCACCTTAGATCTTCTTGTTCAGAGAACAAATAAGTTTTGACTGGGAAACCTTGTTTTATAAATCATTCTGCTGAAACAATGTATGTTTCTGGGGAGGAGCTGAGGTCTTAAGCCAAGTTCAGAACCAATTGGAACCTGGTGGATACTGAAGCAAAATTGAGCCGAGTCTTTTGGGGTTCAAGTTTGTTTATTATTGGCAAAACATGACTTCCTGTTTTTTAGAAGAAATTTTTTTAAAGGCTCATAAAAAAAGGTTCCTGAGGCTTCTTGGACATCAAATGGCTCTTACAAAACAATATTTTGATGAGTTAAGTGTAAATGAATCAGAAACATGTGGATTAAATTTCCCTTAAAATACACAGGGGCTTTGAAATTAGGGGAAAAAATGTTTGGCAAAACATGGCCTGACTTTTACCGAACCCAAAAACTTTGAGTTAGATTTGGAGACAATGGACCAACCCAGTTCTCAAACACACGGACTTTCACTGGAAATGACCATGGATTCCAAAGCACCGTCTTGTCTTCCCTTTTCTCATCTCCCAGCTTCACTGGAGACATTCCTAGAACAGTGACTATTTTTTATCTGGAAGTCAAGATGCAGCTCTCCATATGATGTCCCCCACCTCTTAAATCCAGGATACTCCACTTTGAGCCTCCCTTCCCTGACTCACTTCCTCCTACCCCCATGGCATCACAGAGATGTCAGGCAGCAAAAGAACAGCCAGAAAGATGAACTCCAGATGCATGGATTCTCTGCTGGGGAAAAAGTCTGACTGTGAGTGAGACATGGAGTAAGATAGATGTTCTACCAGACAGAAAGAGACATTCGCTAAGAGAACCAAAAGCCACCTGGACTTGACCTCAGAAGACGATGGATTGCCTGTGAGCCATTCTTTCAGTCAGATCCCTAACTTCTTAGGGAACAACATTCTTCCAAGATTATTTTTCTGTGGGCAGAGAATATATATTCTTCAGGAATCTGGATTCTCGACACAGTACTTTCAGGTTGGTGCTGCACTCCCTCGCCAAGAATGTGTCTTCGCAGCCACAGGACCTCTGCTTAATATCCTTGCCCATCAGCCAAGCAGAAAAAGGGATGGGTGAGGCAGGCTTCAATGCCAGTTCCTACCTGAAGAGGCTCCATGAATTCTGTGAGAGCCTCTGCACAAGGGTCTCTGAGCTGGCTTGCTGTATGGTTTGTCTCCCCCAGGGGAACTATGTAAACAAAAATCAGGCCATTGCCAAGCAGCTTGAAAAGACAGCTTTCCCTGTAGCAATGCTGTGCTGTCAGGTCTCCCTCCCACCCACCACTTCCCTACATCCCACCCTTCTCCTCTACAGTCTCCCAGGGCTCGTTCTGCCCCAGCTTTGCAGAGGAGAAACTCGTAAATGCAAGTGTGCAGCTCTCCCTCCTCCACTGCTGGACTTGAGAAGGTTGTCTGATGGTAGTTAGCACAAGAGTTTACCACAGTCTGGCAAAATGGGTACCCGCGCATGCCTACTTTTGCTCATACTGAAGCCCAGAGTACCTGTAGTTAATGTTTCCCTCAATTTCCTCAGCTAAACTAAGCTTAAAGCCCATTAATAGAATATAGTTAGTGTTCTTTTAATGATGGTAAGTGATTACACAGTCTAGCATCCTTCTTCTGAGCTCTGGTGATGTAAGTCTGTTCAGTAAATGGGCATTCTCTTCTGACCTAACTCAGTTGGCTTCAAAAACGACTTCACATGCTTTAGAAGACTAAGAAGGACCAGAGGAGGAGGAACCAGAGAGAAAAGTCATTTAATAATTTATCAGAATATCAATGCAGGCATTCAGAAAGCCTTGAATACAATGAAGTACCCTTCTACAGATGCAAGAAAAATCTTCTGACACAGTCAGTGGAATGAATACACATTAAGAATTCTTCTAATCTTAATGGATTGCTCTAGGCAAGTGGTTCCCAAACCCACCTCATCTGCCAAATATCCTAGAAAGATTTAGACACACACACATACCTACACATACACACACAACAGCTCCCTAGTTCCCATCACAAATGGATGGAATCAAAATCTCCAGGATGAGCCCTGGTAACTGTTTTATTAAAAAACAAAAACAACCCAAGTTATCAAGTTGACCTGCCCTCAGTCACTCAACTCTTAATTAGCACCTTTAGAAGCAGAGGTGAGTGACCCAGAGGCTAAGGGATGCTGTTTCTGCAAGGAATGATATTTTCCTCTGGGCAAAGTTGACTTAGAGTTTCTCTGAACTCCTTTGAAGGCAGGACTGGGTCATTTCTTCTGTTTCCTCTCATTAACCCATCCAGATGGGGCCCTAGGGGACCCCTTAGAAACAAAGCCTTTTTTCCTACAAGAAAGAAGGAAATCATTATAGTTCTGTTGATACATGCTGAAAGGCTCTTGCATGTAGGCATATAGTTCTCCCAGGCTTCTGAACATCCTGTGCTGGTTTAAAAGGATTCCAAAATGTGAATAGGTTTATAATCTTGGTGTAGATAAAACAGCAAAAGCAGAAATGAAAAAGATCGATAAATTTGACTACCTAAAATTTTTTAACTTTTATACATCAGAATACAATATAAACAAACTGAATTGGTCAAAGAAATCCCAGGGGAAATTTTGCAACATACATGCAAAGGATAACTATTTTTAATAAATTGTTTGTTTGTTTATTAAAGATTTTATTTATTTATTCACAAGAGACGCAGAGAGAGAGAGAGAGGCAGAGACACAGGCAGAGGGAGAAGCAGGCTCCATGCAGGGTGAAGTGGTACTCGATCCCGAGACCCCAGGATCATTCCCTGGGTGGAAGGCAGTACTAAACCGCTGAGCCACCCGGACTGCCCAAATAGTTTTTTAAAATCAATAAAAAAATAGACAAAGGACATGAATAGTCAGTTTATAAAAGAAGAGATGAAATGGCAAACAGGCAAATGAAAACAATGCTGCACCTCAACATACATTTTTTAAAAATACGTATTAGTACAACATCAAAATCCCACTATCACCTCTTAGGTTAAGAAAGATATTTTAAAAGGTTAATATCCATTGATCTTAAGGGTATGAGGAAATGAGTGCTCTTATAGATAGCTGAACAGAGCAAATTGGTACAAGCTTTCTAGAGAGTTGACATCAGTGTTAGCAATATGTGTGTTATCAGTCAGAATAGGTGAGGTTATGCTACGATAATAAAGGACCAACAAATCTCCATGGCTTTCAATAAGAAAGTGTATTTCTCATTCATACTACTTGTCTGTCATGGCTCAGCTGTAGCTCTGCTCCACATCATCTTTGTTCCAGGATGCAAGTCAATAAAATAGCCTCTGTCAAGAACATTGTTGGTCTTCTGGCACAGGGAAAAGAGACATGGCAAAACATAGGCAGCCTCTTAAAACTTCCATGCAAAGATTTTAACATGTCCACCCATGTTTCATTGGCCAAAGGCAATCATATGATTCTTAGGGCTCAACACATCAGGACAGAAAATCTTCCCACAGGGAGGAGCATCACTGGGAATGAACCAGAAGATTTGGTTAGGAATCATGCGATGTGCATTCCCCTTGACCTAATGTGTCCAACTTCCAGGACTTTATTAGAAATGATGATATGCAAAAAGTTTATATAATGGCATATGCAATTTGTGATGGCAAAAATTTGAAAAGATGTAAGTCTCCAAAGGTAGAGGATTAACTAAATAAATTATACTACATTTCTATAATGAGGAATTTAGCATTCTTCTGTAAGTAGAAGAAAATACAATAACTTAATAACATAGAAATATGTCTGAGATGGTCACGAACTGAAAAAACAATGTGGTCCCAATTAGATGAAAACTGAGAAATATATATGTATGTGTCAAACTACTCAGTAAATATTTGAATTAATATTGAATTAATAAACAAAAAATACTGGAAGGATATTTACCAAAATTGTATCATATCGCAAGATACTTGGACTATGGGAGTATTTTCTTTTTCTTTTTCTTTTTTGTATTTCTCTGTATTTTTCCTTTTTATTCTCTGCAGTCTGCATGTTTTTTTCACACTCAGAAAAAGATATTTTGTTTCCTAAAATCATTGTAATACATTTAAACAAAAACAAAGAGAGTGTGGTGGGAAGTTGGTATCTTCTTTGCAAGAAACCACAATAACAAGGCCTTCCTGTCTTTGAAGGTCAAGAGTGACCAAGAACCATAAAATAAGTGCCCTTTCCTGGGGCAGTCCTGTTTGGTGCACTCTATAAATTATTTAGCAGCATCTAACTGACCACTCTATTTCCATTTTCCCCTTCTCTCTCTCCATCTCAGCCACAACTATGTTCGAGGGTCCATTACGCTTTTTATCATCAACCTGCACCGATCAAGAAAGAAAATCAAACTGGCTGGAACTCTCAGGGATAAGCTTGTGCACCAGTATCTGCTGCAGCCCTATGGACAGGAGGGCCTGAAGTCCAAGTAAGTGCAGAGCTAGAAATGGCTTAAGAGGAAGTGCAGCAGGAGCTGGATGGGGGAGTTGGGGCGGGGGGGTAGGGAGCTAGAGCTGCCTCTTTCCTGCTGCTAATTCACTTGGGGGCTCAGTGGGATGGAGTCCATGGACTGCTGACTCCCTTTGGGACTCTGGTCAAGCCCTTCCTGGTCTTTAGGCTCAACTGTAAAGTCAAGTGGTAGATAAGGTATTTCTCAACAAGGGCATTTTTGGTATCTGGACAAGACAATTCATTATGAAGGATGATCTCATTTCAAGCTACTTATTTGCACCCTGGGTCCCTGCCCACTAAATGCCAATAGCACCCCCTAGTCATGTGACAACCAAAAACCCTGGTAGTTGAGAACCATGCCCCTTTCATCTGTAATATTCTGTGATGCTGTATCTCCCTGTTAGTCAGCATCTACAAACCTCACAGGACTAAAAGGGAGGAGCACTGAGCAAAGGGTCAAAAGTTCAGAGGTCAAGCGTCTGTTCTGCCCCCAAGTTTTATAACTTTGGACACATCACCTCTTGGATTTCAGTTTCCTTATCTGAACATTTATTGAAAGAGACATTATATTCTGGGGGCTCTGCAATTCCCTCAAACTCTATGAATATATGCTTCTGTAATGCTCCATATTTCCCTCAGTCTCTCCCAGAGACTTTTGACAACACTGACATCTACCAAGAGAAAGCAGTTCTAGGCCACAGTGAGAAGAGCTTGGTCAAAGGCAAGGTCACCTCAGCTCCCCGAGTAAGGCCTCCCAGGAAGTGTATGGGATGCTGTACAAACTGGGAGCATTCCTAGTCCATTTTTAATGTTTACCAAGTTTAACAAAGCTGTAAACTTGGAGCAGGTGGCTTGCACTCCCACAGCTGCCCACAACTATTTGTGCTATAATTGTTCACTGTTTCACTGCAACCTTGGTGGCTTGCATTTGGCTTCCAACTGTATGTGCAATGGGAACAAAACACAATCTGGGAAGTCACTTACTGAGTTGCTTTAGCCCACCCGAGATCTGTGTTTTCAGTCTTGGTTCACATACTGGCTCTTTTCTCTGGCTATGTGTACATTGCATCTACTTGTCTTTCCTCTCAATCCTATCTGTATTGGGAGACTTTCTTGAGTATTTCATCCCCTCTCTTTCTTTTCCCCAGTAATTCACGACTAGAGTGCTGAATTTTCAGCCTTCATTCTAGGAAAGAGAACCAGTTCTGGTCCCAGCTTCACTAAATAATCACTTGACCTGGGCAGATCCTTGAATCCTGATCCCTTGGCTTCAGTGTTCTCATCTGCAAAATTCAAGAGTTGCTGTATATTTGGTAAGGTCCCTCTGGCTCTAAAATCCTCATCCTGGGTCTGATTTTCTGAGGATCATGGGTATGTTCCAGTTTCCCACTGCCATTCATTAATGACCTGAAAAGGCATTTCTGGCACAATCTGATGTCAGCAGTGATTGTGATAGTTCAAGATCCTCTGGAGCCAGAGAGATTAGGAACTGAGCCTGCCCAACATTGGGAAGACCACATGTACCATGTGGAAGGAATGAGCCGAATACCTTAATTCCAACAAGCCACTTGCTGGCTCTGTGTCCTTGAGCAAGTTCTATAATCTCTACAAAACAGTCTCCATTTCTTCATCTCATAGGAGAGGAGTAAAGAAGGTAATCTATGTAAAGTTCCTGACATATAGTCAGTGTGCAGTACATGTCCATTGCCTTCCTTTTCCACAGCTCATGACTCCAGCTGGCTGGAGAAGAAGAGGGAAACAATTGCTCTCTTTCTAACACCTCTTAGATGTTCTTCCAAAGCAGAATCTTCTCCAACTTTTTAAGATAATGTGTTGCTAAGACATTTGGTAAGATTATAATAAGAGGGCAGCCCGGATGGCTTGGCAGTTTAGCGCCACCTTTAGCCCAGGGCCTGATCCTGGAGACCCGGGATCGAGTCCCACATCAGGCTCCCTGCATGGAGCCTGCTTTTACCTCTGCCTCTCTCTCTCTCTCTCTCTCTCTCGAATAAATAAATAAATAAAATATTTTTAAAAAAGATTATAATAAGAATGGGATAAATGCAAAACCAAAAACAAGAGGAGATGTAGTCAGAGGGTGACATCATTTTATGAGCTTTTCCCCCCACAACCAAGGCATACAGACCTCCAGGCCTGTTTACTCCACTCTATGTCCTGCCTCCAGGATTATTACCCTAACATTTGAACCTGGCCACACCTCAGTCCCTCTTGCCTGTACCTGTCCTTTAGAGTGACTAAAGCAACTCCCGCTGGCTACTGATATGCTCTATGTCCCAATTATGCTGTCTTGTACCTCACCTTGTCCCCATCTCAGTGAGAAGCTGTGTTACGGCTTTGTTGAAAATGTGGGAGACAGACAGGGAAAATGAGAATTTCATTCCAGAGGGGTCCTGAAGAGGGATTTGGTAATGGCCACCGAGATCAAATAACAATGTCATGCAATTAAAAGAAGGGGGAGCTGGAATCACAAGCCCTGTGAATCCAGTTGCTGCCATTTACTCCTGTGGGCAAACCTCAGCTCCCTTACCTGTCAGATGGGGTTATCGTGAGAATCAAACTAGAGCATGTGGGTGAAATACAGCTTTTTACAAATGAAAATTTCATACACCCAAGTATATGCCTATGTATATAAGTAGAAATATAGACAGGCACATATGAGTTTACATATATCATATTAAAGAGAATTTTGGATTGGAAGTCAAGAGAACTGGATTCCAGCCCTAATCCTACCATTACTTCACTGCGGAGCTTTGGGCTCTTCATTTAATTATCTAAGCCTGTTTCTGTCCTGTAAACTACTGCTAATTTGACACCTCTCCTACTAGACCTCAGTGGTCTGTGCCACCTTGGACTGTTAGCTGCTGGCAGGGCCTGTCATGTATATGTTCAGTGCCCCCCAGTGCTCTTCTCAGTAACTATTAATGAGTGCAAGAGCCCTCAGTGGTTCTGAGATGGGGGTCTCACAGGAAGGGTGTGGTTTTGGTGAAGCAGACTCTGCAGGAAAGGATGAAAGGAAATGCAAGGAAGTGATTTCAGCCTTTAGTGTCTCCTTCTCTGTTTTATAAGCCTCTGGGGCCAGATTCTGTGTTCTGTGTCTGCTAATTCCTTGCTGCATCCTGGAGCCATATTAGCTCAGAAGAGGATGGAAAGCACTGGGAGCAGAGGAACCTGTAATTGCTCTTGTCTGGAGGAACCAGAAAGAGGATATAGAGCAAGTCAGTGTGCCATTCAAGCCACCAGTTAGACCAATTTGGCCTGGCGGTTCAGGAGTAAAGAGATGCCAGTAAACCTTTATGACTAGTTTAGAACATGGAGTAACTGATTCTCTTGGAGGTGCCAGCAGGACTGGGTATATTTGAAATCTCTGCAAAGGTATCTCCACGAGATCTCAGGGCTCAAGAATGTCAGGTATTGCACATGAAGCACCCTTAGGGCCACTAATCAGGCACAGTCTAGGGATCCAAGTCCACAGGTGAAGGTTCCTGTTTCTCATGTCAGTGAGTGAACCAATCTTAAGACCTACCACTCAAAAAATAAATAAATAAATAAATAAATAAATAAATAAATAAATAAATACCTACCACTCAAGTCTCAACTCTTTATGCAAGAAATAGTTCTCATTCTTGCAATCAGACCAAAGGTGGGTGACCAATACCCTATAGGATAGGAGAAGGGAAGCTCAGAAAACTGCAGTATGTACACAAAAGGAGGGGGTTCTGTGTCTGGAATACATATTATGTAAGGCTGTCTGAAGGAAATAGGGAGATTTCATTCAGACAAGAAAAATAAGTCATGAGGACTTTCTTCAGATACTTCAGGAACTGAGAAGTGAAAGAAAACAGGTTTAGCCTAGAATCCTCCAAAGTGACAGCAAACCAGGGAGCATAATCTAAAAGAGAAAGATTTCACCACAAAAAAAAGAGTTCATTTTCCTTCAAAGGCTTGCCTGGTCTGACTGAGGACAGGGTTTGTTGGGAGGTAGCCTGTTGCACAGAGTGAGCAGCCATGGCCAGCCCAGAGGGGCTCCAATATTCCAACTCAGTGGGAGGGTAAGCTCAAAAGAGTTCTGCCTCCCATTGAATTCTAAAATGTGATTCTTCTTTTCCATTCTCATTCTCCCACTCCCACTTCACTTTTGGAGCCTGTTGTCTCCACGGTCACCAGCCAAGTAGCTTCTTCAGGCCACTAAAAGGCCACACAGAGAGGCTGTGCTGTAAGAGGAAGTGACAGTAACATTAAGCTAGTTTTTCTCCAGAAAATCTCCAGCTGCAAGTCCATCCTCTGTCCTGTTTCCTACGTTCTCATCTTTCTGGGAGGAAGACTGATCATTTACACCCAAGACAATAATAGTTCCCATTCTGGATAAGTCAAAAAGAACCTTTGGAACATCTCTGTCATCCATGAAGGAAGGAATCTGCCCAATGCCTGATGTGATCACGAATCAGTGAACATTGTCCTCTAGGGAATCAGTTCTCCCCAAGACATAAATATCTCCAGTGTCTTTTGACAAACAGGGAAAGCAGCATGAAGTGAGGCCAAAGAAGTCAACTTACATCAAAATACAGGACTCCGATTTTTAGGGAAAAGTCAAACCAAGAGCAGGGGTTTGGTCACATCCCAGTGTCCTGCCCTATGGGTCTCATTCAATTTCATTTGAAAGGAAAACTATCCAAAAAATAGAAAAGAAGGAAAGAATTTTCACCACATTGACGTTCTATTCTGACACCAGAACCTGAGGGAATCAGATGCTAAGAATCCTGGGGCAGAATGACATTTTGAAGTGATCTGCTCTATTCTCCCTACCCTTACTCATTTGCAGCAAAGCCATCTGGACTAGAAGATGCTCAAGGTTTAAGACCTCTGGGGAAGGAGTGCCCACAACTTCAATCCTGTCCGAACACTTAATTTTATAAGAACACTGTGGCCCAGTGTGGTTAGGACTTTATAGATAATAAA